CCTTCAAATTTATATTCAGTTTGGTGATGCCCTGTTTGAATAAGGTTAAAATCCAAACCTCAGTCTTTGAATAGTATAACGCAACCAGAGGCTGTGAAAATTATTGTCAATAACAACTAGGAAACATGAAACATTTTATTTCACTAAAGGCATGATAGTACAATAATATAACAAATAAGAAATAATGCATGAACAAACATATTTACAAATGCATGAATAAATGGGAAGGAAAATATCATTTGTAAACTGACATTACAATTTTACAGAACTTAGGTGGCAGGTACCAGTTTTGGTGTACCAGAACATGTGTCCCACACAGAAATTTGGTTATAGTTAAGCATTGAGGTATATAATTGCATCATGTGGACTGAAAAAATAAATGAATGTAAATTCTAGGCTATTGTACTACACAAGTAAGTAGTTGCATACACAGGTTGGGGATTTCCTTCACAAATGGGTCCAATTGATGCTGCTGCAAAGTGGGAAGAAGACTGGCTGATGGCTTTCCATCCTGACAAATGTACAGTTCTCACTGCCTCAAACAAGAAAAATACAATTAAACACGACTACATGTACATCCTTCACAGCCATACCCTAGAATCTGTCTCCTCCGCTAAATATCTTGGTATGACACTGCAATCCGACTTAAAATGGACCCAGCATACAAACAACATCATTGGTAATGCTAATAAAAGCCTAGGCTTTCTAAAAAGAAATCTAAAAACATCCATCACAAACATCAAGTCTCAGGCGTACCTAGCACTTGTCCGACCAAAACTAGAATATGCTTGTTCGGTTTGGAACCCTCATACTGCTGAACAATGCAATAAACTTGAGATGGTTCAACATCAGGCTGCTAGGTATGCCTGTAATCATTATCACAACACCAGTAGCGTTACAGACATGCTCAATACTCTAAATTGGCCTACCTTACAACAACGCAGACTTAAAACTAGACTTATAATGTTCTATCAAATTTTCACCATATTGTCGCTGTACCATCAGAATTACTCATACCAACAGACAATAGAACCCGACAAATTCATCCACAAACTTACAGACACCTACTTACATTTAAAGACTGCTACAAATATTCATTTTTTCCGTTTACTATTACACAATGGAATGTACTACCTCCAAAGGTAGTACTTTCTCCCACTCTAAATATTTTTAGAGAACAGTTGACACCTACTGTTCTCTACAATATAGAACAGTAAACCTAGTAGTTATGTATATAGTTTTAACCACATGTCATGTAAGTATTTGTTTATTTTTGGCACTATTCTTTTGTAAATATTTATTTATTATTATCCTACGCATGCGCAACAGTTAGTAATCATCAAAAATCTGATGGATAACTGGATATCATAAGAAGAAGAAGAATCAGAAGTCAAAATTGTGGTCTCCTCACTTGACAGCATCCAATCAAAGTGGGGAAAAAATTCAGTTTTATGTAAACAAAAATATCTTGAGATTTTGATGGTAAGGATAGGTTCTGACAAGGCTCAAATTCACTGAATATCATTTATCTCTTGAAGTTTGCCTAAACTTCTTGTCGGCTTTTAGCAGGATTCTGCAGGTGAGGATTAGATTGGTATCAGAGCATCACATTTTTTGCCTTATTTGCAATGCATTTATAAATTTTAAAATCTCCATGCTGGACAGACACCCAAATTTAAAGGTTTTCTATATATTCACATAAGCACGCACACATCTTAGTTGCTTGAAACCATACATTTTATTTGTATATAAGCTTGAATGAATTTTCAAGAAAATAAAATCATAAATCCATGAAATTCTAAAGATTTATTGTAAAATAACTGGTTTCTGCCACCTTAGGGTTATCAAAAAAATTTGATTAATAATGTAGAGTTATCTCCCATTATACACAAAAAAGTCAATGAAAGGAATATATTATATATTTTCAAAGTATGAAAATTCAAATATGGCAAAAATATGAAAAGAACTGTGACATCTGATATATATAAAAACAAGTACTCGGACAACTTTTTCCGTTGTTTGTACAACTTCATATTTTTTTTATTTGGACTAGAGGTAACGGCTGAATGAGTCTTTTTTTTTGCAACTTACACCGGGATATACTGAATATTTTTAATTTAAATTCAGATGATATTTGAAACTGATTTTAATTTACTTTTGTTTAGATTTGCCCTTTTCAAGAACCTATGTTGTTGCTTCTCTTGTGTGCGTTTATCTTCAAATTATTGCAAACTTAACAAGTTTGAATGAACTTGTTGGTCATCAGCGCGCCTGTCAGAGATACAGGTTGTGCTAAATTAATGCACTAAATACCGAACCGGAAACTAACATGTCCACTCCTAAAAAACTCTTCTTGGTGAACCGTCCTCTAACGCCACAGTACTCTGAGACAATGCAGTATGTATTTTTATAATTTGCCATTTATTAGCACGTCTTTCAACCAGAGACATGAATATGTAACTAAACTGTGAAATAAAGGAATTTATGCAAATTGTGTGGGGGTAGGACTTCACTGTTAAGGGACATCATTTTTTTATCAATTTTTTTTTATAAATTCAATGTGGGGGGATCAATATTTTTTGCACATAGAAATAAGTAGTTCACATACTTCAACGGAGACAAAATGTCAAGAAGAACATTACAACAGTCAAATCGAAATATATTTTTAACACCATTCATATACAATTAAGTAAGACATCACAAGACTTTAGTGATGTAGGATCTGAAGCTGCCATTTTGTGTCATTTTGTCCCATATAAAATGCATAGGTGCTTCATAATCCGAATAATTTAGTCGTTATATTTCACTCACTTCGATCACTAAATTAACAAGCATTAGTGCCAAGTTTTGTTATAATCAGCTTAATAGTTTGAGAGAAATTAAGTATAAATTAAAACGAAATCTACAGCGATTTGTGCAAAATTTTGTCCAAAAATACAAATCACGCCGCATCATGGAAGAATATAGTGTAGAGCAATACATTCTCCAATAAATGATTAAGTATTCATCTAATCTGCATACAAACAGTTGAATATTGATACAACAGATGATTCTGAGATGATGAACACTAATGTATCTTTTTGTTTCATTACAAGATCGCTTTGGGTCCATTTATACCTCTCACTCCCTCAAAATTTGTACTTTTTATGCTAATAAATCAAAATTTTGAGGTTATTATCAAACATTTATGAATAAAATGTGACAATAAATGAGTAATTCAATTGTTCAAGCTGTAAGCATGAACTATCCATATAAAAGTTTAGCGACTCAATGGAGGTTTCAATAAGGCCTTACGTAAAACTTAAGTTTAAGCAGCGTTCAAGAGAAGGACATATAATAGATCCCTCTAAGTAAATAATGTGTTGTTACTGTTTCAAAAAGTTTACTTTTTAATGTATATTTTTTACAGAGTTACTTAGGATAAAGTTTTCTTTAATAGCCCAATATAGGAAATTAGAATAAAAAAGTCAGAAAAAGCTATTCAAAGCACTGGCTTGCTCTACCTACTAATATTCATGGAAGAGGCCTCATGGAAGAGCCCTATTGCAAGGCAATTTTCCCTCAAATGTGTTTTTGGACTCAATACACTGAGAATATTTCATTTTCAATATTTTCGTGAAATAACATGATACGTGTTTTGCATGTTAAAATTTTGGCATGTTTAATAGAGGGGGGATCACATTTTTTAAATGTTTTTACGGGGGGGGGATCAAATAAAAATAGTGAAATATTATGGGGGGATCAAGAAAGTTTGTATGTTTCATTTCAAAATGACCAGCACCCTCTCCCAGGTAAAAAATGATAAGTCCCTAATATGCGCACATCAGATATCGAATGGTGGAGGGAGTAACAGCACTGTATATAGAGAGCACCCGAGCTGAGCATGTAAATATGGTTAGATGCCCAATGGTGGAAGGAGAAGCAGCACTGTATATAAAGAGAGCACCTGTTCTACATATGAAAATATGGTTCCTCTACAAAGAGGGTTTAAAGATAAGTTAGATTAGATTAGATTATTATAGGATTAAACACATTTTTTCTAGAGGTTATTGACTGTGGAAACTGGGACGATTAACTCACAAACTGAATAGAAGTCCGAAGGTATCCAGTGCAAAAGCTCAAATCTACGGAAACATAGCATGCGACGCCGTCCACAAAAGTAAATTTAAAAAAATTATGAAGACGATATCAAACTTGCCAAACAAATCGAGGCTATACACAATCTTATTCGTAACTTCAACAGCTTAGAAAACACTCGGTCTCATAGATATTTCGTTGGATCTAGCTCGTCCGACAAAAGGCCACAAAGATCAAAGAGCTAAGGCCCATAGCCACTACAACTTCAAACACGTCTACATAGATGCAGGACACCCCAACCCGCTATTTGCAAAACTTTGCCGGTTTATACAAGCGCATAGGCAGACAAATTGTGTTCGACTGCTTCACAAAAATAAAGAAGAGACGTACGTTGCAGACACAGACGCAACTGATGCAATCAAAATTTAACAGGAATCAATCCTAAATAATTAAAACAGACAAACTAAACCAACACTCTGGATAGTAAAACAGTTTTGCTGTCCACTGTGTAATTGTAAGTGGCTAACATATTAAAAAATAAATACATCACCAAAGGCAAAGGTACAGATTTAGATTCAGCTCAACCTTGAATTATTCAACCATAAAATTTGATAGTAAAACAGTTTTGCTGTCCCCAGGGAAACTTCTGTGACAAATATAGAAAAAGAAAAACTTACTTACAACTTACAACTCCCGTTAGCGTCATGTGTCGCATAGGGCGCGAATGGAAGCCTTCCATCTGAGTCTGTCTGCTGCTTGTTATTGTGCTTCTCCCCATGTCCTCCATCCAAATTCTGTTCTTTCCTTGTCTACCATTCGTCTCCAAGTTTCCTTTGGTTTTCCTATATTTCTCTTTCCTGGTGGTGGTGTCCACGTCAAGGCGATTCGACAATCATTCCGTGGGTCCATCCTCAGGATGTGACCTATCCAACTCCATCTCCTGGTCTTAATGGTGTTGGTGATGCTGCACATGTTGGCTCTTTGCAGCAGTTCTGTGTTGGAAATCATAGTTGGCAAAAATATCTTGAAGATTCTACGCAAGTTCCTGGTGTTAAAGGTGTTAAGTCTTTCTCCATCTCTCTTGTTTATCTTCCAACATTCTGCCCCATATAACAACACTGATATTACATTGCTTTTATAAATTTTCATTTTGGTGTTTCTACTGTATTGGTTTGATGTCCATATTTTTCTTAACATGTAGTATGCTGCTCTTGCCTTTTTTATTCTATTCCTTATGTCGACTGTTGCATTGTCGCTGGTATCTATAACCGCTCCAAGGTACGTAAAACTGTCAACCATCTCTATTTCTTCGTTGTCCAATGTAATAGGCTGGATGTTGTTTGCATTTACACACATTATTGTACTTTTTTTCTTGTTTATTTCTAATCCAGTTGTTTCAGCTATCTTTTGTATATCGTCTGTTTTGGCTTGAAATTGTGTTCTTGTTGCTGACAGGAGAGCAATATTATCTGCAAAATCAAGATCTTCTAATACCCCTAATCTTCCCCAGTTGATACCAAGCCTTTTTCGTGTTGTTTGCCTCATTGTCCAGTCTATAACCAGTAAGAAAAGGAACCCAGACATTACACATCCTTGCCTGACTCCAGATTTAATGTGGAACCATTCCGAATGTTTACCCTCATGTTCAACTTCACAACTGAAGTGATCATAAAATGCTTGCACCATCCTGATTATTTTACCTGGAATTCCATAGTTTGTCAAACGCCCTTTTGAAGTCGATGAAGTTGATAAATAGGGGGCTGTTCCATTCAATGCATTGTTATACTATATTTCTCAGGATGAATATTTGGTTGATACAGCCTCGACCTCTTCGGAACCCAGCTTGTTCTTTACGTAGAATGTTGTCAATAGCATCTCTAATTCTGTTGATGATAATTCTGCAGAGGACTTTCCCAGGTACAGATAGTACCGTAATGTTATTCCTCTCCAGTTGTCACATTCTTCTAAATTTCCTTTTTTTGAGAATTTGATTATAATTCCCTTCTGCCAGTCTGTTGGTATTTCTTCCCTGTTCCAAATCTTTGTAAATAGATGGCAAAAGACTTTTGCTATTGTGCCTACATCAGCTTTCAATGCTTCAGCTTGCATGTTGTCAATACCTGGCGCCTTACCATTACTGAGTGCCCTTATACTCTTTATTATCTCTTCAATGGTTGGTGGTTCAATATTCATATCAACAACATCTCCAGGTTGAATATCTGCTAGTACAGGTGGATCTTTCGAGTTTAAAATCTCTTCAAAGTGTTCTTTCCATCTCTCTAATTGTTCCTTCTCGTTGGTTATTACATGTCCCTTTTTTGACTTTACAGGTCTGTTTCCTCTCATGCCACTGTTGGAAATTTTCTTGCTCAGCATATATAGCTTGTTCTGCTCTCCCTTGTTTGTTGCATCTTCTGCACTTTTTGCTTTATTATCAATATATTTCCTTTTATCATCTCTTGTACTAAATTTTACCTCCTTGTTCTTTGCTTTATAATCTTTCTCCAGCTTTTCTTTCTGTCTTTGTGATCTTGTAGCATTGATTTTTTGTTTTATCTGTTTTCGTTCTTGTATTTTGTGGATACTATTGGCAGTGATCCATTCTGGTTGTTTCCTGTCTTTAAAACCTAGTGTTTGCTTACCAACCTCACATATTTCTTGTTTGATATCTATCCACTGTTCTTCTATGCCTTCTGTTTCTCCCAATTCCTGAAATCTGTTCCTTAACTCAAGTTTGAACTCGTGTGCAATTTTTGGTATCTTTAGCTTAACTGTGTCATATCTTTTCTTCTGTTCCTGATTTACTCTCTTTCGACAAAGTTTTAGCTTAACTCTGGAAATCAGTAATTCATGATCACTACCAACATCGGCACCTCTATATGACCTTACATCTTCCATAGATCTTCTAAACCTTTTGTCAATCGTGATGTGGTCAATCTGATTCTTGATGTTTCCGTCTGGTGAAGTCCATGTGCATTTATGAATATCTTTATGTTTGAATATGCTGGAGTCAATTACAATGTTGTTAGTCTGACAATAATCCCGAAATAATTCTCCATTCTCATTGATAACACCATACCCGTTCTTCCCCATCACATCTTCATATCCAACATTATCTGATCCTATCTTTGCATTCATGTCACCCATTACTATTATCATATCATGTTTATGGACTTTTGCTGTTACATCATTAAAGGTTTGGTAGAACTCCTCTTTTACTTCCTCTGAAGCTTCGTTCGTTGGTGCATAACACTGTATAATGGTCAACTTTATTTGTCTAGAATAAAATCGAGCTGTTATTATTCTTTCATTAATAGGTTGCTATTCCATGAGTGTTTTTTTGTTTGGATATAATTAGTGCTACTCCATACTCATGCCTTTCTGTTTGTCCAGAGTATAGCATAGTCTCACCGCCTCTGAGGTTGGTCTTCCCTGTTCCAGTCCAACGACATTCGCTAATACCCAATACATCAATTCCATAGTTGTTCATTTCATTTACTACCTGGTGTGTCTTTCGGGTTGGATACATTGTTCTTACATTCCAGCATCCGACCTTGATCTGTTTTCTTGGGTACTCTCCTGATGTTTGCTTCTAATTGGTTCTGGGTTTGGCCAACATCATTCATTGAACCTTCTAACTGATTTCTGTTTTCCGGTCTAACCTCGGTATTTCCCATCAGAAAAGTCGTTCTTCCATTTCGCGTTTCTGTAACTTTTTAGTTTTTACGAGGATAGGTTGTTGGCCTATCGCTCAATCCCCAACCTGGAGAGCCAGAGAATCTTTACTCAAGGTTTCGTTCCTTTAGATCAGTTGCCGACCAAGGCTGACGAGTCAAATCTACCCGGAATTTATCCTAGATGAATTGCCTTCCAAGGCTGACGACCTTCATCCAGCCGGCTATTAACCCATAACTGGGGCAAGATTGATGAGTGCTAGGACATGTCCACACGTCGATGGGCCTACACACTTCATCTCTAGGGTCCTTGCTACTCCGAGATCCTCTACAGTTAGGCCTAGGACACTAGATCCTAGTTACCATGTGCTGTCGCGAGGAGGCACTGTAGAAGTCTTGTTAGTGCAGAGGCTATGTACTGGCAGGAAAGACTTACGCACTCGGCTTTCTTTTCAACTATGAATATAAGCTATCCAGCGGCAGCGTAAGAGTCTATGACTCCCAACCGCACTAGACGCATACACGAACCTGTGGTGAAAAAGAAAAACAACATCATAAATTTAGTTTCAGCTTGATCCTGTATTATATTCGATCATTGAATTGGATAGTAAAAACAGTTTGGCTATCCTCAGAGAAACTTTTGTGACAAATACAGTAATGAGAAAAATAGCATCATAGATTTAGTTTCAGCTAGACCCTGTATTATATTTCAACCATTAAATTGGATAGAAAAACGGTTTTGCTGTCCTCACAGGAACTTCTGTGACAAATATAGTTATAAGAAAACAACCTCATAGATTTGATTCTGATTACCTTGTATTATATTTCAACCATTAAATTGGATAGTAAAAACAGTTTACAATCCCCAGAGTAACTTTTGTGACAAATATATTAACAACGAAAACAAAATTATACATATATATCATCAGCTGAACCCTGTATTATATTTCAAACTATTCATTTGGATAGTAAAAACAGTTTTGCTGTCCACAGAGTAACCTGAGCGACGAACATATAAAAAAATCAACTTTATAGAATTGTTTCAGCTTACCCTGTCTCATATTTCAACCATTAAATTGGATAGTAAAACCAGTTTTGCTGTCCACTGTCCACCATATGTGAGAAATATTTTAATTAACTAATAATAACTACTAAATATAGATACAGATTCAGCTCAACTTTGCACTATAACTTTATATAGCATTTCATCTGCGCATTGGAGCAAACTACCACATTAACTCTGAAAAATCTGAAAATCAAAAGGTGACAGATCATCCAAGCAAATACATTGGATACTAAAAACAGTTTTGCTGTTCACTGTAACCACAGTAACAACTTATTAGATAATAATAAAAGCATCCTCACAGATACAGATTCAGCACAACGTTATATTTTCATTCATTGCATTTTTCTTGTGCACTGGAGCATCCCTATATAAACTCTGAACAACCAAAATTGACAGACCATTCAAGCTAATACATTAGATAGTAAAACAGTTTTGCTGTCCATAACTTTAAAATAGCTAAAGGTAGTTTCAACAACAACAACATCAATTCATTTATTTTAGCTTCAAGATAGTGAAGATTGCTTTGCTGTTCCCTGAACCTATAAATAAGGTCTTCCCCAAGAAGAAGACAACTTAGAGAGAAGATTACAACACATAGATATACACCCAGCCTAGCAGTTGCCAAAAATAGGGCATGTCAGAAAGTCAAAGACCAAGTTCAATCTTGCTGTCAATTCACCCCAAGCAGAAATAACCAAGGAATAACAACCACCACTCAGTACACTCTTAACATAGCTAAAGCTGCTCAGAAAATGCTTTCTTGATGTTTCATAAACAAACTCTCTGTTATTATGAACAATCTACAAAGTTAAATGCTATATCTCATTTCAAAAGAGACAAAAACAATCTTATTGTTGAAGAATAACTCAGCATTAAACCAATCACTAACACCGGTATTGGTAGGAGACAAATTTATAGGATTAATATGTACAAAACAGCCTTCTCTGTAGAAGCAAATGGTAGAGACATAGTCAACTTTATTAGAAAGGATCTACATGAAATTCTAAAAACACTCCCATCAACAACCTTTCTGAATAAAATGAATTCAGTAATACAAGATGAATGTAGCTCTTTCCTGACTACACAAATCACCAGAAACCCACTGAAAATAGATAATACTTCATCACATGAACCTGTAATTGTTGATATGTCTAACAGCGTTGACAGTGCTTCTTATTCAACCATTTTGAAGTCATTCAGCATAACTACAGCTGAAAATGATACAAAGCACCACCAACTACTCAAGATTGTCCAACCTGTGCATCATGCTCAGAAAACATAGTTCACTCTAACCACAGTAACAACTTATTACATAATAATAAAAGCAACCTCACAGATACAGATTCAGCACAACGTTATATTTTCATTCATTGCATTTTTCTTGTGCACTGGAGCATCCCTATATAAACTCTGAACAACCAAAATTGACAGACCATTCAAGCTAATACATTAGATAGTAAAACAGTTTTGCTGTCCATAACTTTAAAATAGCTAAAGGTAGTTTCAACAACAACAACATCAATTCATTTATTTTAGCTTCAAGATAGTGAAGACTGCTTTGCTGTCCCCTGAACCTATAAATAAGGTCTTCCCCAAGAAGAAGACAACTTAGAGAGAAGATTACAACACATAGATATACACCCAGCCTAGCAGTTGCCAAAAATAGGGCATGTCAGAAAGTCAAAGACCAAGTTCAATCTTGCTGTCAATTCACCCCAAGCAGAAATAACCAAGGAATAACAACCACCACTCAGTACACTCTTAACATAGCTGAAGCTGCTCAGAAAATGCTTTCTTGATGTTTCATAAACAAACTCTCTGTTATTATGAACAATCTACAAAGTTAAATGCTATATCTCATTTCAAAAGAGACAAAAACAATCTTATTGTTGAAGAATAACTCAGCATTAAACCAATCACTAACACCGGTATTGGTAGGAGACAAATTTATAGGATTAATATGTACAAAACAGCCTTCTCTGTAGAAGCAAATGGTAGAGACATAGTCAACTTTATTAGAAAGGATCTACATGAAATTCTAAAAACACTCCCATCAACAACCTTTCTGAATAAAATGAATTCAGTAATACAAGATGAATGTAGCTCTTTCCTGACTACACAAATCACCAGAAACCCACTGAAAATAGATAATACTTCATCACATGAACCTGTAATTGTTGATATGTCTAACAGCGTTGACAGTGCTTCTTATTCAACCATTTTGAAGTCATTCAGCATAACTACAGCTGAAAATGATACAAAGCACCACCAACTACTCAAGATTGTCCAACCTGTGCATCATTCTCAGAAAACATAGTTCACTCTAACCACAGTAACAACTTATTACATAATAATAAAAGCAACCTCACAGATACAGATTCAGCACAACTTTATATTTTCATTCATTGCATTTTTCTTGTGCACTGGAGCACCCCTTTATAAACTCTGAACAACCAAAATTGACAGACTATTCAAGCTAATACATTAAATAGTAAAAACAGTTTTGCTGTCCATAACTTTAAAATAACTAGAGGTAGTTTCAACAACGACAACAAAAATCATTTATTTTAGCTTCAAGATAGTTAAGACTGCTTTGCTGTCCCCTGAACCTATACATGAGGTCTTCCCCAAGAAGAAGACCACTTAGAGAGATTACACCACATAAATATACACCCAACCTAGCAGTTGCAAAACATAAGGCACGTCAGAAAGTCAAAGACCAAGTTCAATCTTGCTGTCAATCCACCCCAAGCAGAAATAACCAAGGAACAACAACCACCACTCAGTACACTCTTAACATAGATAAAGCTGCTCAGAAAATGATTGATGCTACTGATCAGTTAGACGTACAGGCAGAGTTCAAAAACGGGACCCTTGTTATGAAATTTACACCTGCTGCTTTCTTGATGTTTCATAAACAAACTCTCTCTTATTATGAACAATCTACAATCTATCTCATTTCAAAAGCGACAAAATCAATCTTATTGTGGAAGAATAACTCAGCGTTAAATCAATAACTTACACCGGTATTGGTAGGAGACAAATTTATAGGATTAATATGTACAAAACAGCCTTCTCTTTAGAAGCAAATGGTAGAGACATAGTCAACTTTATTGGAAAAGATCTACACGAAATTCTAAAAACACTCCCATCAACAACCTTTCTGAATAAAATGAATTCAGTAATACAAGATTCATATAACTCTGTCCTGACTACACAAATCACCAGAAACCTACTGAAAATAGATAAGACTTCATCACATGAATCTGTAATTGTTTATGTCTAACAGCGTTGATAGTGCTTCTCATTCAACCATTTTGAAGTCATTCAGCATAACTACAGCTGAAAATGATAAAGCACCAACAACTACTCAAGATTGTCCAACCTGTGCATCATGCTCAGAAAAC